CCCCAAAACCCCAAAACCCCGTAAGCATTAATATTTTAGGCAATTTCTTGTGAATTCATTAAATAAATAATAATCTGATTTTCACAGCTTAGGTTTATCTAATTTTTGTTTTTATTTTTTCTGCTTTTACAATGATGCTTCTGCTAATTTCAACATAAATTTGTGAGATTCATGCATCTCAGGTATCTCAAATATCATCATTTAGAGCCATTTTTCAATATGAGGATATTTACTTAAATCTAATTCAATAAATCTCCCTTAAATTAACTCACAAGCGCAGGATATATCTGCTATACTTATTTCATCTCCACTGATAAACTTAGCCTTAGATAGCCAGCTCTCTATAAGACGCAAGTCTTTAGTTTAATTTCTTCTCTAAAACTCCAATACATCTTGAGGAGTTTCAGATCCAAAAAACATTGGACCGAATAGCATCTTAAAAATTAAAAACCCAAGAGATTGTCTAATTCCTTGATGATGCCAATCCAGATATATATCTACTTTCATTCTTTTGATTGGATCTTTTGGATACCAATTATCTGCAACATTTCTTGACTATGCTAAGTATTTTAAGATGGCATGGCTCTCAAATAAGTTGAACTATTCTCCAGTTTTTAAATCTATTTCTGTAATTGCAGGAACTTGCATATTAGGATTAATAGCAGTAAACTTTTCATCCCTTTGCTAGAGCTAGCCAACCCTTACTTCATTAATTTCATGAGGGATTTTGGCCATTCTACAAAAGCAGACTATAGCGCGGGAAGGCTAGCTTGCCCAATCAATATGCAAGATTAATTTTTTGTCTTCCATCTTAAAATTTTATAATTTACAATTTAATAATTATTATTTTTATAATTTTAATGGGAGGCGGAGGATATACCAAGATAGGGTATTTGAAATTTACTTTCATAGTATTTTCATCTATTGTAGGAATACTAGATTTTATAGCTTCGTTCTTTTAAGTACTACACATAGTTGGCATAATATTTTCCTCAGTTCTTGTCGTTATCAATGTAATGGTCATACTCTACAACACAAAATACAAGCAATAGATAAAAAAAGACTATAAGATCTAATACCAACATCTTGGAAAAAGAAAACAAAGAACTTAATTTAGCAAATGCATGATGATAGCACTAAAAATATTCTATTTAGTATGGACATCTTTAGTTCTCTCTATGCTGATAATAAGAATACTAAATTTATCTTTAAGGAATGATGATGTTAATTTGACATCATTTCCTAGTCAATGTGGGTCTTGGGCTTATAGCAATGGATGTACCAGGATCGTAAAAAATGGAACATAATGTGTTAGATAAGGAACCATTCCAAATTCATATCCCTATTAATTCTAGCTATCGTATGTTGATTAAGACGATGGGACTACAATGAATACTACAGATATTGTGTAAATATGCTCATCTCAAATTGGATTCAGCAAGCAAGTTTATCCTACAGATGATATAGATGAAAGCTAATCAAGAATATTTATGCATCTTTTCATTGAGACACCCTTCTTTGGATTCATCAATGACTTTTACATTGAATTTGTGCAGCAGTTCTATGTATCGAACTCTTATGTTTAAGTATAGTCTTAATCAAGGTTATCTGGAAACGATTTGATGCAAAATTATAACTATGTCGAAACCTTTTTCAAATGTCTAAAAACAATGACCGATGAATAACCAATCGTCAAATCATGCTCTTGAACGTAGATATTGAATAAAGAAGGATTCTTAATGAGTTACTACAAACCATCTGAATAATAAAGTCATTAGTTATATCTTTAATATCAATTATTTTAATTATATATAATCCAATTATAATAATAACTTATAAAATTAGGAATGAAATCAAAGGCTTTTAAAATAATTCGTTTCTGCCTATTCTCATTTTCAATATTGCTCTCTATAGGATTACTCACCGTTTCCTTGATACTTATTGTGCATATTGTAGGTGTTTTGATTTCCTTGATGCTTTTGATGTTTAATATACTATACTTGATCTATTACATCAGATTTAAAAAGATTATTCAGAATGAAAACAGAGTCTATCATGATTACATAAATAAGCCAAAATACTAATAAAGAACTTGCTTTCAGAAATTTTCAAACTATTCATTAAAAGGTCTTTATGTGATTTTGAATGCTGCAATTTTCGTCATTTTTGTTATGAGATGCCTCACATTAACAGTTAGAAATGACGATGTTTATCATTAATTATTCCCTGGTACTTGTGATAAATGGACTAAAGATGGCTGCACTCGCTTAGTTTAATCAAGCACTGGCTGTATAAGAGAAAAGTCACTGCCTTTAAAATATTCTATGAGTTATAGTGTTAATTAGGAAAACAAGACAATCAATCAATTAATTGTAACCTGCACCAAATAAATAGGCATAACCCATTGGATTAGTCCTAACGATAAACCAACATCAGAAAGAAAATATGTAATTCATTTGATTGAATAAACAGCCTTTATGGGAATTTTAAATGATCTTTATATAAACGTAAGACCATTGGGAGTTGATTAAGTTATCATAGAAGCCTAATCATAATCAAGACTTTCAGGTGATGATTCTAATCACAATTTTTATACAGTCTATAACTTTTATGGATGCCTTAAAGAATAAAGTTAATAGAAATAGCCTAGTTCTCTTTAATTTTGTAAGGGGAAATCATGATTTTACTTTAATTTCTTATTTCACTAATGAGGGGTTTTGGGGTTTTGGGGTTTTGGGG